GGCTAAAGAAGGCTCCATCGGAGGGATGCCCACCAGGCCTGCTTGGTCTGCCCCTTCCACGTCCAAGTACTGACCCTGTCTGGGCACGAAGGCGCGGAGGGACAGCGGTTTGCTCCAGGAAGACGTCAGCTCCAACACAAAGTCCGGAAACATAGGCAGACAGTGCTTCACATCAGCCGGTTCAGACGGGAGATAAAACCCTGCGAACCTCGACGGGTTTTGAGCAGGTGGGGTGTCGGGCCACTGTACCTCCAGTTTAGCAGCAGCTTGGCGGCACAGGGACAAGAAGGACAAATCCTGGTCCACCCTCTCGGTTTAGATCCAGTAGAAACTGGGTCTCACCCCCCTCGGTGTCGGGTGAGGTCGCCTCATGCTCCATCTGGTCCGCCCAGCTAGCAGCGGGGGCTTCGACCGCCGAATCTTTGTCTTCGTCGGACTGAGCCGTCTGGCTGGATTCGGAGAGCAGTGGGTCTTGTCAGAAAACAGCAGTTTCCCCCAGCATTTTCTCCAGGAATTTCACTCTCCTCTCCAGTGTCGGACGCGAAAGTCCGGCACAGGCCCGGCAGGACTCAGGCTCCACAAGCGCCCGTCGAGCGTGAATGATTCCTAGGCAGGCCGGGCAGACCTCATGCTGGTCCTTCTCATGAAGCTTAAAGCCGCACCCCTGAGGACAGGGGCGAACAGAAGACTTTTGCTTCTTCGAAGGTGGTTTTGTGCTCATCGTGAACCACAAAACAGATTTTCAGCAGAAAATAAAGGTCACTTAAATAGCGTCGAGCAGCAGACACATGAACCAGCAGGTAACGCGGTTAGCACCAGTAAAGCTAGCCTAAGAACGTTAGAACCTGAGCTAACTAGCAGCAGCTATGTGAGCTCAGGTTTAGAGGTGACTATGGCGAGGTGAAGGGCGATAGAACTGAGTAATGACGCTGGTGACTACGAACTTATAGGGTGAAGGCGGAGCCTGTCACCCGACGTTCAACGTCACCGGTCTAAAGACGTGATTAGAGGTGGCTTCAGCCAGTCGTGTGTTTACCATATACAGCTGTGTGTTGTACTGAGTGAAATGACTGAAAAGGAACATTAGGATCCTGAAAATGAGTTTGAATCACACTTCCAGCCTCCAGTGCTTTTATTTATTCAAAGAATTGTGAAGTTCAAAACTTCTTGTTTTTTTATTTGATCATTATGGGTCCGAACCTTCTATTTTGAGTTTAACCTGAGTAATGTTTTATAATTAACACATGAAGTCTGTTTTTTTTTTCCCAATGGAATACTATATCACAATAGAAAGTGTGACTTTTGGCAACTAATTTTTTTCTGCTGGTTTCTACAGACCAAAATCATGGACAAGATTTTGGAGGGCCTTGTCAGTTCCGATCACTCTGTTCCAGTAAAGAGAGCCATAGTAAAGAAGGTTGTAGAGGCGGCAGAGAAAGAGGTGACAGAGGAGCAGTGTCGAGCCCTGTTCACCCTCACCACCCGCCTCATCTTGCTTGGTGAAGATGCCTTCCAGAAGCAGATTGGCCTCCAGGTTCTTGAGGCCTATGCGCGCTACCACCGGCTGGAGTTTGAGCATTTCTTTACGAAAGACTTTGCTCTCAGTTTGCTCCAGCAAGGCTATGGACAGCGGGACCACAGAGACCCAGCTATAATAGACTACATTCACTGCTGCCTGCGCCTTCTCATCAGCTGTCCCTCTGTGTTGGAGATTTTCAATGTGATTCAAGTGGAGGTTTTGAGGATGGTGTGTGAACGTCCGGAGTCTAGTCTCTGTGCCCATCTGTGCACTCTGCTGTCAGACTTCATGCAGTGCATCCCAAGGGACAAGTTGGGCATTTTGTTCTGCCAGCAGCTGGTTCGAACCATCAGCTGCTTCCAGTGCGTTGCCAGCCAAGAGCGAGAACTGAGGGAGTATGTGGGGCAGGTGACGAAGGTTAGCACTCTGCTGCAGAACATCTGGAAGGCTGACCCAACTACTCTGTTGCCCTCGCTGCAGGAAGTCTTTGCTATCATCTCCTCCACAGGTGAGAAACGTTTATATAACTGATGTCATCAGATGGAACATCAAATGTGTACAAAAAAGACTAATCGTTTTTTTCTGCATAGTTGTGGCTTGTCAGTGGAAGTCAGTTATAGTTAATTTCAGGTTTATATGAATATCAAGAGTGACTAGACTGTAGTTTCACAAACGGAGAGGAAATATTTATAAAATTAAATGTTATGTTCTGATTCTAATGTAGCAAAACCGTTTGAATGTAATGTTATTCAAAAAATACTTCATTTATTTTAGTGATACCCTTTCCAAAATAATCTGTAGTCCTCCTGATAAATATTACAAAAAGCACTGAAAAAAGTAGGTTGTAGGTGTTTCAGTTGAAAGTAGGGTTCTGTGGAGTTATCAGGAGTTAGTATCTTACCTGCAGTAGAGAGGTCTCAGTGCATTATCAAATAATTCAGAAATGAATCATTTTGTGTGCGTTTACAAATGATCAACTTTCGGAATAATCAAAATTCAAGATGGCTTCCACAGCCAACTCAACTCAGCCAACACAAAATAGCTAGAATTTGTCCAGTTTTCCAGATACTTGTAGAAAATTTGGCATGGAAGTGGCTGGAGAGCATCCCTTCCACATACTCCAGTCCAAGTACTAACAAATCACTAGCCTGGTAAAAACCAGTCCCTTGCCCTACGCTTTGCTTAGTACAGAGAGTCTCGAATCTTGGCTATTGAGACGCTGATGTTGAAGTTTAAAACAATTGGTTTGATTTACTCAATCGCTAACGTTTGGCCATGACGTATGCAGTGTGCCAGCTCGACTGTGAAGGAAGCTAGGCTAAGAAGCTAAACGGAAATTGCATGCGCTGTAACCATCCCCTACTGGGAGGAGAGAAGCCAAAGTACTGATCCGAACGAGGTGGTTGTAAATGAGAGCTGCAGGCTTTCTGAGACAAATTTAATTTAATTTGGAAGCCTTGTCAACATGGACTGGCTTCATTCACTTCCTCCACTGCCATTGCTAAAATACAGGCCGTCTAAAACGGTGCAGAAAATTGACATTATCGTTCCAAACTCCTCCTTTTGTTCACTGATTGGCCCGGTTGAAATTCTACCAGAGAAAACCCAGACAGAGCAGTGAAGGGAAACTAGAATTGAGTGGAACTGTGTAGAAAGACAAGAGCCAGGCTTACAAATCACACATCTTTGCTTAAAGCTTTGTCATTAACTCTTCTCATCAACTCTTGTTTGTCTGTTAGCTAAATATCTTATGAACCAATGGACATATTTTATTCTATCAGAACATAATCTGAATTGATGTAGACCCATAAATCATTTACTGTTGGAGCCAAACCTGTTTAAAATGTCTATCATGACTAATCAACTTTAGCTAGCACAAAAATGACTAACTTACCATAGTCACATTTAGTAATAGTGTACTGAAGTTTTACGTGGTAGTAGCTGAGAGTCAGTCTTATAGTATTACATGAGATCATGCAGAGTGGAATTTACTATGTTTGACCAAACTTAGTCATTTTTCATTAAGGTGTCAGATGACATGCATTTCTTCAAGAAATGCTAGATCTTTAGTTAGTTTTTTATCACTTGTGTTATACCACAATAAGCTAAGTCTCAATTAATTCAGTCGTTTCATTTTTTTCAGACCCGTCTTTTGAGCCGTCGATTGCACTGGCCAGTCTGGTCCAGCACATCCCTGTCCAGATGATCACAGTGCTCATCAAGAGTCTCACCACAGATCAGAACGTCCGAGACGGAAGCATGACTAAAGCACTCTGCAGGTAACCTTCTGCGCTGACTCATTTCAAGCTAAAATTCTTCTTTTAAATAAACACGAGTCATCATGAACAGACTTCTTCATTCTTTAAGTACAAAACCTTAGATGCACACTTGGTTCAGGTTGCAGTTACCTCCTGGAATATTTAATAAAAATCAAGTCTATAGATCTTAATGTAAGGTTGTTCTGTCCATACAGGATGATTGACTGGCTGTCTTGGCCTTTGGCCCAACATGTTGATACCTGGGTCATCGCTCTGCTGAAGGGACTGGCTGCAGTTCAGAAGTTCACAATCCTCATTGATGTCACTCTGCTTAAAATTGAACTGGTTGGTCATTCTTGATTTTGTAGACATTGTGGTTTAAAGCACTGATTAAAACTATATAACCAATGCTTTAAACCACAATATTAATCAAGGTTTTATTTTTAATTTGTCTTAAACTAAGAAAATGTTTGACATTAATGATTGTTTAAACAAATGTTTTTGTCCTTTTGTAATTGAAACGCAGGTTTTCAGTCGTCTGTGGTACCCCATTGTGAGGCAGGGGGCGCTAGCTGTACTTTCCCACATGCTGCTGAGTTTCCAGCACTCTCCCGAGGTCTTCCATTTGGTAAGTGATCCACTGCTCTCCTCGCAGCTCATATGTCTGAGTTGGTTTGTTTCTCATTTGTCTTTTCAAGCCTAAATTACCTCAAAGCTGTACAGAACTCTTTACTCCAGATATTTGAATTATTAATGTTAGCTGCTCCCTACACTGTTTCCAGCACCACAGAGAACTCATTATTTTTCTTATGTCTATGTTTTCATCTCTCAGGTTGTTCCACATGTAGTGGATCTCGTTGAGTCTCTGAAGGTAGACGGTCTCCCCACCAGCAAATCTATTTTGTTGCAGTTTACTGAGCTCATGCACTGCATGATGTATCAGTACTCTGGCTTCCCTGACCTGTATGACCACATATTGGAAGCCATCAAGGTGAAGAATATGTGTTTGTGTTGAATTTATTTACTTATTTATTTATCATTTTTACCAATGCATAAGCAATCACAAGCTGTAACTACCATTTGCCATTTTTTGCATTAATTGTTTAATATTTTCTTTTCAGGATCTCCCAAAACCTTCAGAAGAGAAGATTAAGTTGGTGTTGAATCAAAGTGCCTGGACATCTCAGTCTAATTCATTTGCTTCCGGTGTTTTGAGGCAAGCTGGGAAGTCTGAGACAGGCAAGACTGGTCTGATCAACCTTGGGAACACCTGTTTCATGAACAGCATAATCCAGACCCTCTTCATGGCCACAGAGTGAGTATATTAGACACACCAGACGTTTTTATGTGTAGTACCACGTTTCCTGCCGTAAGAACTGACGGTGAATTTCTTCTTGCAGTTTTAGGAGGCATGTTTTAGCCTTACATCTAAATGCCTCCAACATGCTAATGAAGAAGCTTCAGCTCCTCTTTGCTTTTCTCGCTCACACACAGGTCAGTCTCGTCCTCATTAATGTCTGAAAACAAAGTAGTTTATAATCGAATGACTGCAGTGTGATTCTTTCTCCTGCAGAGGGCAGCATACGCACCCAGGACCTTCTTGGAAGTGTCTCGTCCTCCCTGGTTCAATATGGGCTCACAGCAGGATTGTTCTGAGTATCTCAGATTTATTTTAGACAGGTACTGCAGCAAACTAAATGGCTTGCAGGAGGTTTTTGTTGTATTAGTCTCAAGATGCTGTAAAGTGTTGAGGTACTGTCTTCTAATGCCCAGTTTGCCTCTATTTTGATCTTAAGGTTGCACGAAGAGGAGAAAACGTTTCAGGTTCTAGAATCTGCTAAGCCAAGAGTTATCCCTTTGGTTGACACAAGCAGCAAAGACGCAACGTGTCCGACTTTTTCCAAGGAACACCAGGAGTCATGTTTGGTTCAAGGAGAATCTGTACCTGTTGATGATCAAAGGACTTTAATAGAAAGGATGTTTGGTGGAAAACTGATCACGGGCATTCGCTGCATGCAGTGCAACTGCATCTCTGAGAAAGAAGAGCCTTTTACAGACTTATCTTTGGCCTTTTGTCCGTCTGCCTCCTCTCAGAACAGTCCTAAATCTCAGGGGCCCTCAGAGGAGCCCAAGGTTCTTTGTCAAGGATCTGTCAATGGTGGCAGCGAAGCTCCTGAGCCAGGCTCGGCCAGCTCTCTTGCTACTAATGTTCAATATGAGCCGGTGACAAATGAGCCTCCCCTCTCTGTGCCTGACCTGGTGAACTATTTTCTGGCTCCAGAGATCCTCGATGAAGACAATGCGTACTTCTGTGAGAAGTGTGGCTCCCTTCAGAGGGCAGAGAGGACCCTGAAAGTGGTTTCTTCACCCGAGTACTTAATCCTCACACTGCTGCGATTCTCTTATGATGCCAAATGCCATGTCCGTAGGAAGATTCTAGACAACGTCATCATCCCACCAGCCTTGAGACTTCCTGTTCATGCCCCTTATACGCCTGTGCCGTGGTCCTCCGCTTCCTCCTCCCCTTTGCAAGTCGATTCTCCCGAAAGCAGCGAGAATCTGGCCAAGAAACTGAAACCGTCGCAGGGTGACGAGGAGGAAGATGGGAGGGTGAGGCTGAACGAGGCAGAGGAGAGAAACTTAGCCGGAGAGATGCAGGTTCAGTCGGTGCCCTATTTGCTCAGCTCAGTGGTGGTGCATTCTGGGATATCATCAGAGAGTGGCCACTACTACTCGTACGGTCGCAACGTCAGCGGAGCAGATGGAGCACAGCATCCAGCCAGTCACTCCCCAGTCAGAGAGGACCTAGCCACCTGTAGCCTCTGCACACCTGAGCAAAGTGACACACAAACCTCTAGTGGCCAGGAGGCAAGAGAGTGGCTGCTGTTCAACGACAGCAGGGTGACGTTCACGTCTTTGCAGTCAGCGCAGAACATTACCAAACGCTTCCCCAAGGACACAGCTTACGTGCTCATGTACAGGAAGCAGGATCAGAATGTGAACGGTGGTGTGGCAAATGGGACGAGAATTAGTGCTGAGCCACCTCTGCAAAAAGAACTACTGGATGCTATTATCAAAGACAACAAGCTGTACTTACAGGTAACTTAAAAACACTTCTTTATACCTGCATCACTGCAAATACGATTAAAAGAGACATTTTACCACCTCTCATATTAATTAAAACTGGTATAGAGCTACAAAATGAACCTATTAAGATAAAACATTTAGTATCAAAATCTTATGTATGTTTTTTTATTTTGTTTAAAGTTAAAAATATCATTCAGTAGAAGCATTAATGTACATAATATTTACTGTACTTGTTTTAATAGAACTGAGTCAACCTGTGCTTTTTCTTATTTGTGTGTGTGTGTGTGTGTTCATCTAGCAATCCATTATCTATACACGCTTATTCCTTCCAGGGTCATGGGGGTCACTGGTGCCCCCCATCCAGCAATCACAGTGTGAGGGGCGGGGTAAACCCTGGACAGTTTGCAAGTCCATCACATATATACATGTTCAATATTAGTTAAAAAAAATAAAACTCAGAGATTTTTAAAAAATAGGCGGTACACTAATGTTTTAAAAAGAGTAAACATGAATATAGATGGAATTATTGGTTAATTAGAAATGAAACGTCCTCAAACAAAAAGCTATAATCTTCTAAATTATTTTTAAATAAAACATTTCTGTCATAAACCTACCTCCCTATCAAAGTACAATGGATCGCTGTTGAAGCTGGAGGGGGGGTGCGGTGAGAAGCATCTTGTTTGGTGTTAAAGAGACAGCCTCAAAATGAGTTGATCTGAGACACACTTCAGAAAAGAGACAGAAGAGCTTGTGGTGTTACAATGAGGAGGAATTCAGACAAAAGCATTGCAGTTCCACTTTTTATAGACCCCAACTGAATGATTTAAATGTGGATTTAAAAGCCTGAAATGTCTACTTTTTATGATCCCAGTAAGTGTGACCTGATAGGCAACATGTTTACTACTGTTTTAGACACTAGACGATTTCAAGTGGAAAGTGCTGAAGAGAGCATAGACAATGCTTTTGTTAAGAGGCAGGTAAGAGTACATGATTTTTGCCTTCATAGTGAAGTCTGAGTGGTTCTGTTTAAAAGTTGTTGGTATTTCTCAAGTCACTGAGCTGTGTGACATTTAGGGTGCATTCACACCAGCCCTGTTTAGTCCGCTTTAATCGAATTCTAGTTTGTTTGCCTGTAAAGTTGGATTCGTTTGGGGAGGTGTGAACGCATAATCGAACTCTGATTCGGACCAAAAATGCGAACTCTGGTCCGCCTGCAAACATAGGTCTCTGTTCGGTTAAACAAACTCTGCTACCAACCGCAAAATGTAAACAAATCTTGCAGTTTTGGTCTCCAATCGAACCGAGTCTACCAGGCTATCAGGTGTGAATATGCCCTTAAATATCAGTACATCGCCTCTAGAGGGAGCTCTAGGAATACATACCTTCTGTCTAAAACAGTTTATTTTATATATAATACATTTATTTTCATGCATTTGAATGTCATACAGCAATAATAAAGTATCTTTACCATTTCTGTTGTCTACCCCTCGTAACCACCAGGAGCAGGAGCTCAACGCTCGCACCCAGGCTCTTCAGGCCTCTTCTTCGTCATGCTCATTCAGGCCCAACGGTTCAGATGACAACAACCCACCCGGGAGCTGCGGCCCATCTGGTGGAGGTGGAGGGGGAGGGGGCTTTAACACCATTAGTAGACTGGTGTTCTGAAAGGAGAGTGGGCCAAAAAAATTGGATAAACCCAGATGAACTGAGGTTGACTGATGATGTGGAAAGCTGAACTGTTGTATAGCAATTAACTTTGGGGGGGGGGGTGGGGGGAGCACTGACATGATTGAAAAAAAATACAGTGAGTATCAGCCTACAGGATTTGATCCTTGATTTGATTTGATTTCTTTAAAAACCTGTAAGGTTTTCTTGTTTTTCAACTCCTTTTGTCATTTTCTGGTCATTTGTTTTTGTTTTGTTTTTTTTTGTGTGATTTCCGCTACACAAAGCACCCACCGACTTGACACACAGGTGGCTAATACTCTTTAATGTAAATATATTCTTCTCTTTGAATGAGAAAAATACATTAAACACCTGTGTAATTTCACTTAAAAAATGTTCATATAAACTATTCTGTATATTTGGTTTTGTCTGAAGCGCTCAGCAGAAAGTTTCTAATATTGCCTCAAACACACACACACACGCAAAACTGTGTGTGGTTTAAGATTTAGAAAGATTTTATCTTTATCAACCTTAACTTTGCTGTGTTTCTGAACACACTAAGCGATCAAACGTTTTTTACTCCTATGATTTGCATGCAGCTTTGCTATAAGCTGTGGAGTTACGTTTTTCAGAATATTTGAATCTCCTTGGTGTTCACTCTATTGTTTTAAAGGTTCCACATGTGTATTTATGACCTGAAATGGGATTTCTGTATGATTACAAATAAAAGAAACGTTAATCGGTAATAAAAGCCATGTATGGGATTTTTTTTTCTACAGAGATCAGAGTTTGTTTCAACCAAAGCAGACGAGCAGCGGACTACTTCTGACTTGATTTTTTTTATTTTCAGAAAGACTCCTGCATTAAATGATTGGATATGCTTTTTGATATTCAGTGCAAAGGGGTTTGTTTCACTTTTCACCTAAGTTGCTTTGTGCATTTATAAACACGTTTTTCTCTGGTAAGAACAGTTGTGTTGAATTACACTGATGTGTTGGTAAAGAGATCGTTAGAGATACATACAGTATTTAAATGTGTTTTTAAAAAAATTCCACAAATTTACAATGAGGAAAAAAAAAAGATAGATGTGATTTATTTGAACTTTTATTTTTTAAATTGATCCAAATACCTAATAATTTCTTGTAAGTGTACCCATGTGTTTTAAGAGTTTCGGCATCTTCAAAATGATCATTTAAAAAAAAATGTCTTAAATGTGGTGCCAACAAAGTTTTCTGAAACTTTCTAGTTTGGACCTTTTGTTTTTAAACCCATCCTGTACTTGAATGCTTTCTTTTACGATCTAAATGCAAATCGTGTTTTGCAAAGATGAATCCAATGGCAAATTGACTTTTTTGCTATACAATTAAAAATATTGTACTTTAACAAAATATTTTTACACAGCCTGATGTTTTCTTAAGAATAATCCTGCAAGCTTGGCACTAATCCACATACTCCTTTAAAAAAAAAAATTCTTCCTCCCTTTTTTAATTTTATTTTTTAACACGTTCAGCCTTTAGCCTTTAGCATGTTTCATTAGAACAAAATTTTGGACCCCAACTGGGACACAGAGTTTTTTTTTTAAAGATGTAATTACTGTATTTTTTAGTGTTTTTGTTTCGTTTTTGTTGAAATGTAAACCTGAGGTTTCTGCAGAAATACATTAAAGCAGGATTTCCGTGTAGTTTTATGGGACGTTTTTTTTCCTTACTCCCAACTCCCCTCAGAATAATACTACCGCTTCCATGTTTAACTGCTGACTGTCGGCTTTCGTTTGCACACTTCTCTGATCTGTGCCTACATCAAACTCATTAAAAAAATTATGACTATGCTGGTCCTTGTTGACCCATGCTAGCAAAATGATTTGAAATTAGCACAGTGCAAAATAAGTGAAAACAGATTTTTCACAAGGTTTGCATATTTACGGTCTATAAATAAACTAATAATCTGGCATTACCCTGCCAGATTAGCGTTACCCTGTTAGCAAAATACCTCATGAACCACTGAAACTCTCAGAATGTAATCATTGGATCAACATCTACAATACCTTTTTGCATTGATTTTATTCAAATCAACTGAAACAGCTACACAGAAATAACTATAACCCAGCCAGTTTTACATGTATTGAGCTAAAACTTGGTGTATTTGAGCATAATTAGCAAACTTCCGTTGGATTCTATCCTGGCATGCAGGCCTGCAAACCTGATTGCTCTGAAATACACAGTCATGCCTTAAATAGACGTGTGTCCATCATTAAAATGTTTCATTTAAACATTCACTTTGATTGGACCATGTAAAACTGCGGGCTCCTAACAGAAAAGTAGGATACACATACCATGTTCAAAAGGTCTGATTTTCTTATAAAGGGAGCTATTTTAGCGTTGTAGTTTATTTTATTAGTTGATCAACAAAATCAACCCCAGTTTGGTTTGCTGAAGAACAAGTAAAGAGAATGCTGCATCCATGTTTTTGCTATGACTGCAAAATGATGCACCAGTGGAAGTAACTTGAGACAAACTGGTGACTAAAAAAAGGGAACTGTGAAATCACGTGCATTTGCACAGAGAGGGAAAAGAAACATCTGCATGAAGGAAGACTCCTAGACTGAGAAGACATAAAAAAAACCAAATGTAATAAACTGTTGAAAGAGGTAATATTTCCTCACAATGCCAAATTCAATTATTTCAGATTCACTGGGAACATCAATTCAGAGGCAGTGTCTGCTGTAACAATAGCATTCCAGAAAACATTCCTCAAATGCCAGTATGACTCTGAGGGAATAGCCTTTTGTCACTGAATTTGAACCAGCTACACACACACACACACACAAATCCTTAGAGCCAGTAATAGTTACAAAAGATCAGGGCCACAGAGCTAAAT